ATTCACTCGTGTGGGCACAGACTACTTCGGGCCATTCTTGGTTAAGAAGGCACGCAGTGAGCTCAAGAGGTACGGATGTTTGTTTACATGTCTCACTACGAGAGCAATCCACTTGGAAGTTGCACACTCCCTCGATACCGACTCGTTTATCAATGCCTTACAGCGATTTATCTCCAGGAGAGGCCCACCCATGGAAATACGTTCGGATAACGGGACTAATTTTGTCGGTGGATTACGAGAGTTGCGGAAAGCCATCAGTGAGTGGAATCAACAAAGGATTTCAGATTACCTTCTACAGCACAATGTAAAGTGGATCTTCAATCCACCTGCCGCCTCCCACATGGGTGGTGTTTGGGAGAGGCAAATTCGCACTGTTCGTTCCATTCTTAACACTGTCCTCTCACAGCAGGCACCAGATGATGAAGGTTTGGCAACACTGTTTTGCTGTGTTGAGTCTATTGTCAATGGTAGACCAATCACTAAACTATCAGACGACCCGTCAGATCCTCTACCACTCACACCAAATCATCTGTTGTTGCTTCGTTCAGGTCCTACTCTACCTCCGGGAGCCTTCGTAAAACAAGACCTTTACCGACGCAGATGGCGCCAGGTGCAATATCTGGCAGATGTCTTCTGGTGCAGATGGCTCAAGGAATACTTGCCTGCACTGCAACAACGCCAAAAATGGCTGCAACCAAAGAAAAATCTTCAAGTAGGAGATCTTGTGCTTATTCTGCATGAGAACACACCACGCAATCACTGGCCTCTAGGTCTGCTTACTCAAGTCTATCCAGGTGCAGACGGACTTGTGCGTACTGTGGAAGTGAAGACACAGGCAGGTGTCTTCATCCGTCCTGCAGACAAGATCTGCCTCCTAGAAGCCAGTCTTCTTAGTTGATTTAGTTTAATTGTCACATCACCCTTACTTTGTTTGAATGACCTGTTTGGGTCATTGGGACCGGGATGTAGGGTGCTGCCCCTTTAAGGACGTTGATTCTGTGGGCTCATGGGATCGCGGAAGAAGAGGCGCTGTAAAAAAAAAAAAAAAAACTGAACCGAACCGAACTGACCGAGAAAGCAACGTTGATGCTCATTTGCAGACTTTCTTATGTTCTACAACAATTACAGCTAAACACTTAATCTGAACTATATGTTCCCAGCGTGGTAAGTCAAATGTTGTTGTTATAAGTATATTGATAAATCGCCATTCGCGATTAGCGCCTAAACGCCTAATGCTATTAGTTTGTTAGTTTGGATTGACATTTGGTTTAAATTGCTTATTTAAACATATATGCAATATGTGTAGCATTTACAAGGTTTAATAGGTGTTTGTAATACAGCGACTGTTTAGAAATCTGTATTGATAGTTTTATTACACACATGTGATAATATTTAATGCCTACATAGTCTACCACGTGTGATATTTGCTTTGTACGGAATATCTTTGATTTATAATGTTTATCATCTAAGCTGATGTTATGTTGTAGAAAACTTATTTGGGAAAATGATACATGACTGGAAACTAAAGGTGAATTATTTGTATTTACAGTTTGACCGCACGCACACACTTATGTGTACATTGTGAGTTCTGCACAAGTGGAATAAAGAAAAGAGAAAACACAAAATCCAAGTTAATGTTATCATTCATGGGTAACACTCACTCACACTTGAACTAGCAGCGAGCTACCACACAGGGTGCTGGCCAACCATCAGGAGCGATTTAGGGGTTAAGTGTCTTGCCCAAGGACACTTCGACATGTGAACAGGAGGAGGTATAGTTAGTATAGTTGTAGTACATGAGACTGGTCATGGTCTCGAGACCGGTCTTTTGATTTTTGATTCGCATTTGTACTCAGTCTTGTCTCAGTCTTGAACATTGAGGACTATGGATTTTATTTTTAGACCAGTCAAGACCATAACTTTCGGAATATCAATAAATTGATTTTGCATTGTCTGATTTGTTTGTTAACATCCCAACTTTGATTGGATGTAAAATGTATTGCTTCAATGCAACCAATAGCCTAACCCTATTTAAAATTTTCAGTTTGTGATCACTCAGCACAAACTGGAAACAGTCGAAGCGTAACATAATGTTCACATTTCGGGTCTGAGAGCGGGGCAGTTTTGTCGGAGGGAAGACTGACTTGACTTCACACTAAAGAAAACTCAAGTGTATAATTCAGTTTCTATCATTTGTGAAAGCATAACTATAATTTTCTGGTGAAGTCAAGGTGTTTACTGTATTTGAAAATGTTCCTTTATTTTATTTCAAACTCCTAATGTGGAGTCCACAAACAGGCCTGGCAGAGATCGCAGGACACAAATGATTAAATGTAAAGCAAAGTGATCCGATTATCGTACTATGGATAATTTAAATGCTGTTGCGATGATGATTATGGCAGTGACAGCAGCGTTGCTGGCTGAAATGACCCATGTGTGACATCATATCCATGTCCAGCTGAGCTCTTCTGCTCACGTGAGGTGAGAGGATTGAGCCTGGGATTGTTTAGGGATTAGCCAGCAGGATTTACCAGATTCAGAGATTCAGAAATTAAGGGACAGGAGTGCCACAGCGGTGGGGTCACATTGGAGGAATAAGAAAGCACTGACTCACAGGGCAGCAAAACTTTAAGTCAAAAACAACTGTTCCTCTCTCTTTCTGCCTTAATTCTCTATCACACACATACACATTTTCCTACTCTTCATTTGTACACCCCTCCCCAGCCCACCACCATCACCAATCACCTAATTCTCCTGCTCCTACACGCTTTCAGTCTGAAAAAGAAGGAAGGCGTGCCTGTCTGAACAGATGTGGAGATTTCAGCTGTCTGTCAATGGATCATAACATTCCCCGGCTCTCTGTGTATTCTTATCTGTCTTACTGTCTACCGTGTCTATCCATTTGAGTGTATGAAGGACACATTTCACAGTTTTCTGCAGCCAGAGGATTTAGTGGCAAGAATACTTTCTTTTTTTTTTGCGTGAGTATTTCTGAACCAATTTTCAAACTGGAGACACAAGTGGACACCGACTGCTGGGATCAGTTGATCCAGGTTCAGCTGTCCGGTTCGGGTGACTGGGCACCCTGTGAGTTAGACATCTTCCTTTGTTCCCTTTATTATCTTGTCTGTCTGCATTTAATCCATCTTATGCTTATGTTTCCCATGAGAACATAATGGTAAGCTTTTTCTTGACAGTTGCTTTGCAGTTTCTTGACATTTGTGAGCATGACTATCTTTAGGAACAGCATCCTCATAATGATCACATCTTTCTGTACTTGTTTACTTGATTCTTAAGATTTTAAGAAGATTTTTCTGAGACACACCTAGAAAAAGAAATATGCCTGCTTTTTGGGTCGAGCTTGCATGTCTGGAAAATTATTTAAAATGAAGACATTTTGCAAACTGAATGTTACCTGCCGATCAGTAGTCTGTAGTGTTCTGGAAAAGTATCACGGTTACATCTTAGTTAATGTGCACATCATTACTGTCCATTGAAAACCATGTATGTACCAATTTGGTTTTCCGATGAATAGATGGATTACATGTTCCTCTCTGGTTTATGAAGATTTACCTACTTCTGCACAAATTAAAAACCCTATCGGATTATCTGTAAAATATATGGATACAAAGCTGGAAACGGCTTTTTTTTTTTTTGTTCATAAAAAGTTGACATTCATTTAATTCAAATACAGCAGATTTTATTTCATTCATTTAATAATTTAAGCACATGTCTTTAGTCTACATGTTTGACTTGCCTTAGTTTGGGTAGCTGAATGTATAGAAGTGGAAGTCAAAGAATGTTTGGTCCTGAGGTTGTGAGCATATCAAATGAGCTGATATTACAGTAATGAAATTCAGCTTGAGGACAGAATCTACTGGAACCAGTGTTTTTTTTTTGTTTTTTTCCCAATTCACAATTTTCAGCATTTTACCTGTTTTTTTTATGTTTCTCCTGTCTGATTAGTTTGTAGAGCCAGCACAGTCATCTGCCATGTGAGTAATTTTTATCAGGTTTAGCAATATTTTATTTGATATTATTCTGTCATAAAAAAAAAACATACTCATGACACAAAACAAAAAAGCAGAAGGTAAGAAACAGAAAAAAATGTTATTTCGATAATCAAACGATCGTTTTAAGTAGTTTTAAGTTATTTTTCAGGCAAAATGACCAAACGTTCCCTTGTTTTCATCTCCTCAAATGTGAGAATGTGCTCATTGTCCTTGTTTTATGATTGTAAACTGAATATCTTTGGGTTTGCAGGGTTCTTATGTAAAAAGTATGGAATTTGATTTTAGTCATTCCCATATCTGGATAGGTAGCGAAGAAAGAAAAGAGTGTGGAAAATATTTATGTTTCCAAACTATTGCCCTCATTCTGTTTTCTAAAATTGAAAATTGTTTTGGCGCTTGGAGCAGGCAGTCAGCTGTGTGAGAGAGCACGGGCCAGAGCTAGCTTGATGTTGTGAAAAGCAAGGCAAGAAGTATGGCGTGTGACTAATGTCACGCTCCTATGCAGAGCTGCCAAAATGTGTGGCAACCCTGGTTTTGGACTGTTAGTCAGATAAAACGAGATGTTTGAAGATGTCACATTTGGCTTCAGGAAATTGTAAACAGGAATTTTTCACTGTCGCCTCTTTTTATTAGGTTTAATGACTATGCTTAGCTAACATTTGCTAATTAGCACTAAACCCAGCAGATTTATTAATTTGTTAAAATAAGTTGTACCCCTGCAAAAACAAAGATTCAGTTCAACATGGGACATGGGTGTGAACATCTAAAATTAAATTAAATAAAACAAACTATAAATATCATAGAACATAAACAAGCATTTGTATACACAAATTGAAGCATGACACAGGATTAAAATATTTCAAGTTATTATAATCTATTATTATCACTGGCCTGCCCCAGCTAATGATAACAACAAAAACTGCTGTGCCTCTGCTACGTTACAGTTGTGATTAACCGTTCCCATACCGGTCTGTGTTGTTGTTCCAGGTGATACCCACAAGGTGGAGATCCCCAGAAGAGAGATGGAGGTGGTCAAGGGCCAGATGGTGGTATTACAAGCCTGGTACAGCCCCAACTCAGACATTTCTAAAAACTCCGTCCTCTGGCAGTTCATGGGAAATGAATCCAAGCAGGTGAGGAGGTCAAAACAGAAATCAGCAACAGTGTGCTGTATGGTTGACCTCAAGTGGAGTAGAGAAAGAACAGCCTTTTTAAAGTGATTAAAATGAAGTACAGTGTGTTTGCCGATCCTCCTACTCCTGTAACATTTGAGCTGAAACAACGAATGAGTAACTATTGTGACAAACAATTAACAGTCGTTTTTCCAGCAAAATGCTCTGGTTCCAGCTTTTGTAATGAGAGGATTTGCTCCTTTTCCCTGTTTTGAGGACATTTTGGTGTGACTGTCGGTCAGACACCTCAGGCTGCAGGAAACTGTGATCAGCATTTTCACCATTTTCTGCCATTCCATATAGGGAAACAAAATATAGAACCTTATGAAGTTTTTTAACTTTTAATTGTGGGAATTCTTAGTTGCGAAGCAGCTAAATATTTTTACATGCAAGGTCTACCCTAACTCTTAATATATACTAGATTAATCCTGAGAAAGCCATCTAGGGATTATTAATTTAAACACCATTGCTGATGTCTAATTCATAGTAGAAGGAAGAGCATGATAAACGAATGGATGCCACTAATGACAATTCATCTCTACTTTTCTGCAGCTCCTATGTAGCACGAACTGCTGGTGAAACTGTACATATCTGCACGGTGTGTGTGTGTGTATCAGTGGGTCTGAGTGTGTAGGGTCTTTGCATGATTAATATAATCTAAACAGTTTGAGTTTCTGATGCCTCCGAGCTTATCTCAATCAGGAAATCAGCCTAAAATTTAACATCCACCATCTGTACATGTAAGGATTATCTTTATGAAGGACATTGATTTCTGTTATATTGGTAATCTGCGCATCTTAACATAGCTAAAGCAAATAAAATTTTCAATATTTCACTTGAATGACTAAAGAGAAAAATGTCTGTAGTACCTTAGTTTCCAAATATGTTGTATTTCATAAAATGGACTCAGAAATGTTGATGTATTTAAATATATTAATAATTAACAGTTTAATGATACTATGCTGCTGTGTTAAGTCCAGTATTTCCATGGACCTGTTTTCTCCGTTAAGGTGATAAACTACAGCTCAGGCGAGGTCGGGCACGGCCACAACGAGTTCACCAAAAGAGTGGGCTTCAGTGCAACCATGCCCTCAGCCAACCTCTCCATCTATATCAACAACACGCAGGAGTCTGACTCCGGACGCTACATCTGCAGTGTCATCATCCTTAAAAGTCCTGGCATCACCGGAGAGATACACCTTAATGTTAAAGGTAATGTACTGCAGTATCAGAGGCTTTGCTGAACATATTTTGAAGGATTTTTGGTCAGACCAGTCTGTTAAAAATCATATTTGTGTGAGCAAGTACTAAGCATAAATAAATCTCATCTGCTGTTTTGGGATTCACTGGGCTCTGAGGTCATTATGTCATCCTCCAGCAGCAGATGGAAACAGGGTGGGGGTTTTAAAACATTTTCTTATTTGAATGCAATATGGCTACTGCCCTGAGAAATCTATGTTTGCAGTGGATTTAAGCCTGATGTAAAAGTTCAAAATCAGGTCACTGATCCTATATTCTTATCACTCGGTCTGTCTCTCTGTCTCTACAGTCCCTCCTTCTCCCCCAGTATGCACCATGACAGGGAACCCAGTGGTGAAGGGCAATGTGACTCTGAGCTGTAAGTCCAGTCATGGAAAACCCATCCCTCAGTACAAATGGACCAAAGCCGCACCCTTGTCTGAGGTCTTCTTCTCCCCAATGCAGAGTAAGTATTTTCACGACAATGCAATTCTTGTACTTAAACTGTCAGTTCATACAAATTACAGAAAAAATATACACTTACTTAGAATCTTTAAACATAGATATGGTTTTATTTGCCAAGATTTTGATTTTATTTCACCTTGGGTTTCACCAATCAGGCTACATACAGGTTCACTTGGTGGAGGTTTTTTTGGGGTTGTGTGCAGCCTTAGATGAAGACTGCAGGAACTACTAAAAACTGAAAAAAGTACCTTCACCTCCTCTTTTGCTTTTCAGGTTTTATATTTTTGTTTGATATTCTCCTAAAATATGTTAGAATTAAACATGACATTTTCTATTTATTTATTCCTTTATTTTGAGTTGAAAATGTTCATTGTGTCACGTAACTAAGCCAAATTTTACACTGGCTCATCATGTCACATTCAGGCATCCATCCCATTTTTACCCTTTAAAGGACCAGTGTGTAGGATTTAGTAGGATCTCATGGTTGCAGATTGCATCCTGCTGAATACCGCTTCAACCACATCCCCTCAACTCTCCCTTTCCAAGCCTGTAGAGAGAACCTTCAGTGGCCTTCAGGTAACATAAAAACGCGAAAGACCCTCTGTAGAGCCAGTGTTTGGTTTGTATGTTCTGGGCTACGGTAGAAACATGGCGGTGCCACATGGCGGGCTCTGTGGAAGGGGACCTGCTCCCTCTGTAGATATGATTCTAAGATAATGAAAACATAACCATTCTTTCATTGTGAAAAGATTATTTTCCTTTGCTGCTAATATATCCCCCTAAGTTCTTCTTCACTCTGGACCTTTTTGCTACGTTCAGACTGCAGGCCTTAATTCCAATTTTTTTGTTTGACAATTCACATTATTTCCTAATGTGGCCCATATCATATCAAGTGTTCACAACTTTCATTACGGTTTCTGGTGCTGTACAACGCAACTGCTCAACTCACTAACGTTACAACGTCTCTCTCTCTCTCTCTCCCTCCCCACTGTGCCCACACGGACATGCACATAACTCAGAAGAGAGTTTGCAGTCCGGTGGATTTCAAGTGGAAGAAAGAGAATTTGTAAGCAGATGAGAGAGCCACATATTTAATTATGGCCTTTGTGGAGCTTTTTCGTTCCCCGTGGCTCCGTCTACAGCAGAGCTGTGACAACAGCTGCTCTAGAGTGACGTCAAAGTTGCGTCAATTCCAACCTGAATGTCCAGACTCAGGTCACATTTAAAAAGATCCAATCTGTATCGGATTTGGAACACATATGGAAGTGGCCCAAATCCAAACTGGCTCAGATTCCATGTGACTTGGCCTGTTCACATTGTTGGTTGGTTGGGTATCGTTTAAAATTTCACGATACCAGTACCAAAACCAGTACACTTAAAGTGATACCGATACCTATTGAGTACTTCATTCGATACCTTGCATAAAATGCCACCTGTTGAAGCCATTCTAGTTGATTGGTAGCCTATTATTATTATTTTTATTATTGTTATGGAGCCGCAAGGTGATCTGTTTTATTTTATTCTTGTTTCAAATAACTGTTACATAAAAGAATTGGGAAATTGTACCAGATCCTCCTCATCCTAATTAGTTCATCCTCGTGGGTAGTATTATACGAGGAAAGACTACAGCTTGGGATTTTTTAATATTTACATTTAAATTCATACACTACATTTACATACAGAAGAAGAATCGTTGGGCAGATAAGAGTTTGCAGCAGTGAGGTAATACTTTACTCCATATTTTTCTCACTTGATGTGCTATCTCTTTGCATTTTACTGAGCAATCCACTAGAATCTGAAGGCCGGCTGAGCGAGTGTGTGTGTCCCACCCACTGAAACCAACCTTTTGTCTTGGTAAACCGGAGGGTGATCAAAAGCATATAACAGAGTACTTGTACTCCTGTTGCACTCTTAAACACAGAACCAGCGGTTCTACCTGTGCAAGTCCATTGAGTTAGGCCACCTACAAGAGTAGCTTTTTCTAAGCACACCTACTCACCTAAAGCTTCCAGCTACAACTACGCTCAGTCCATGTGCTACCATACTATTCCTATTGTCTCCGGTGCACGCAGGAGGTATCATGCCATCAGGCACTCCTCAAGCCTTTAAAACAGGCACCACCCACATCTGTTTACTTCTCTGTTGGGTCATGGAACTGCCAGTCTGCAGTCAACAAAGCAGACTTTATCACTGCTTATGCTAACACATTATCTCTTGGGCTACTGGCGCTCACTGAAACCTGGATCAAACCAGAAAACTATGCTACTCCCCGCTGCGCTGTCCAGCAATTACTCTTTATTACTCACCCACACCCCCCCACCGTCAGGGAGGACTGGGCTCTTAATTTCTAACAAATGGAAATTCACACAGCTACTACCCCCGAATCAATATGACTCTTTTGAATACCATGCTGTCTTTGTGTCTGCTCTGGTAAAGGTCTCTGTGATTGTCATATACCGTTCACCAGGACAAATGGGTAACTTCGTGGACGAGCTAGACACACTGCTGTCTTCAATACCAGAGCATGACTGTCCCCTACCTGTCCTCAGTCACATGAACATTCACAATTTGAACTCAGCAGACTTCCTGTCTCTGATTCAGTCCTTTGATCTAACACGGGTTCTCAGCCTCCCGACCCACAAAGCTGGCAAGGTGCTTGACCTTGTTCTTGTCCGAAACTGTGCCACCAAGTGCCTAACAGTCACACCTCTACACGTGTCAGACCACTATTTCACTTAGTTCATGGTATGCCTACAGGAACAGCCCATTGTTCCAGCACCGTTTGTCTCACGCCGCCGCAACCTCCCACTCACTTTGCCTCAGTGGTAGCTTCCGCTCTACCTTTCCTCAACACATTTTCCTCACTTGAGGTCAATGATGCCGCACAATCTCTGTGCTCTACACTAAGCTCGTGTCTGGATAGCCTGTGTACTCCGTGCACTCCGTACCGAGCCACTGAAAGAAAATGGCGAAAAACCAAAGACCCCGCCAACCTTAAGGGCTACCAATTGCTCCTATTCTCCTTCTCAACAAGCATCAGTGCTGCCAAACCTGTGTTCTGTAATAACAGAATTAGCAGTACCACTGACTCAAGGAAATTATTTTCCACTTTCAAAGTGCTACTAAATCCTCCTCCACCCCCACCAGCCTTCCAGGTCAATGGTTCTTCACTCTCCTCATTTATTCCTCTCACAGAGAGCGAAGTATCAGAACTCCTGACCCATAGCCATCCCACTACATGCCCACTGGACCCGATTCCTACGAATCTCCTCCAAACTCAAGTTGAGAACTATCGGCCAGTGTCTCTTCTACCATTTTTATCCAAAACTATCGAACGGGCAGTATTCAAACAAATCTCAGAATTCCTCTCATGGAATGACCTCATAGATCCATATCACTCTAGTTTTAAGAGTGCCCACTCTACTGAAACGGCTCTTTTGTCTGTAACAGAAGCCCTAAGGTCAGCTAAAGCTGCAGCCCAATCCTCGGGTTCTTATCCTGCTTGACCTATAGCTGCTTTTAACACAGTCAACCACAGTATCCTGCTATCCGCTCTCTCAGCAATGGGCATCTCAAGTAAAGCACTCCTGTGGTTCGAATCCTACCTCTCGGGTTCCTACAATGTTTTGTGGCAAGGACAATTATCCTCCTCCCACTGCCTCTCCACAGGGGTGCGAAAAGGCTCAGTGCTAGGGCCCCTTCTCTTCTCAATTTACACCATCTCACTGGGGCTGATCATTCGCTCTCACAGCTTCTCTTACCACTGCTACGCAGACGATGCGCAACTCTACCTATCCTTCCCGCCAGACGACCCCACTGTCTTGGCGCGGATCACGGACTGTCTCTCGGACATGGATGAAGGCTTGCCACCTTCAACTAAACCTCTCTAAGACTGAACTCTTGATCATTTCAGCCAAGCAATCTATCCACCATAACATCAAACTACAAATTAACTCCTCTACCATCACTCCAACCAGGGTGGTGAGAAACTGTTTCTCACCAATCTGAGTAAATGTACATTTACTCATTTGGCAGATGCTTTTATCCAAAGCAACTTACATTTGAGGAACAACATACAACATCAACAAAGCATCAAATACAGCACGAGATCTACAACTGACAATACATACTAGTAAGAGCTAATAGCACATGTCACATCAATGGGGTAAATACCTAGGGAAAGAAGTAAGATTTAATAAAAAAGTACTATCAATACAAGATAATTGTAAGGCGATAGAAGAACAGCACAGAAAATGCATGTTAGAGGTTAGGTGTTAGAGGTGTTATAAGAGGAACTGTTCTCCGAAGAGATGAGTTTTCAAGAACTCCTTGAAGTTAGAGAGGGACGCCCCTGCTCTGATGGCGTGTGGTAGCTCTTTCCACCATCGTGGTGTCACAGATGAGAACAGCTGGGACTGGGATCGCTTTGTGTGAAGGGATGGCAGAGCCCTGCGGGGGTTCGTTGGAGAAGCGTAGTGGCAGAGAAGGAACGTAAACTTGTATTATGGAGTTTAGGTAGATGGGTGCAGACGCGCTGCTGTGTACTGAACCTTTTGTAGGGGTTTCACCGCACAAGCTGAAAGACCTGCTAGGAGGACATTGCAATAGTCAATATTTGAGAGAAAGAGGAGGAGTGAAATAGTTTAGTGACCAAATAAGTTGTGTGAAATAAATTTAAGGTAATTTTTTGATATGTGTGTTGAAAGTAAAGAACTGAAAATTATTTTAACTTTTGATCAATAAACTGAATTGCAAGATCTCCGCGAGTGCTTTTTCCTTTTATTGGTGAGGAACAACAGTCACAAGTATTCAACAGAAAGGAATCTGTTTAAACAAGTCAGACAGACTACACTAAAGACTCACGAGAGACTGCATGTCCAGCCAATCAAACCAGCTACACCAGCTGAAGCCCCAGTTGCAGCCAGAGGCTCCATGAGTAAAATCAGCTGATCGTTTCTGCGCCACAAACGCGTTTAATTGATGTGATGGAACGCAGCGACCAATTGGTGACAAGGGATGTGAATAGCAAATAAAATTTACAGAGAAGTGTTAAATGATACCAGAAGATGATGAAACCAACGGAAAGCCAAGCTTGTGGTGATAAACAACAGTGACAAACATGCCTGAGACCGCAGCCGAAGGTGAGCGGCTGTTAAAATCACCCATGGACTGTGCATGGAGCATGCAGGTCTTTTTATATACAGTTTATGGTGCAGGCACATGAGGGGAAAAAAGGCATGTTCTTCTCTTTCTGTCGGTGTGTTGCTGGTGTGTTTGGCTGCAAAACCATACAAATAGTAATTTTTTGCTGCGATCTGGTTACAAAAATGATCTATTGATGTACTGGTTTGACTGGAGACGTTTTGATTCTACTTGATACTGAGCTGTTTTGGTTGATACCATAAAGGTATCAAGTACCATTCCTAGTCACATATGAGCAAAAAAATTTAATTTGGGTCACTTTAGCCTACAGTCTGAACATAGCCTTTGATTTGGTAGTCGGAGAAAAAAAAGAGGTGAATAACATTCGCCTTTAGTGAAGTTGTAGTCAACCAGCCTTGTTTCTCCATTAACGTAGATATGTACGAAAAAGAAACAAAAAATGGCAGAGGAATTCTCTGTAAGCCTGTTCATGTGCAGGTCTAAATGTCATGCACCTTCCTGCTGCCCTTAAATGCAGATATAGCTGAGTCCTTGTTGTCAAGTCACACGCGATAAGCCTGTGGCCATTACTGATCCCATATGTTTCAGATGCACCTCAGAGGAAGATCCTTGATCATGCCATAACATGCAGTGTTTAATCCTCTTTACAGATTGAGACAACTCAAATCACACCATACTCCTCTCACAGCACTGCCCATGCAAGAGAGATGTAATACAGTATATTTCGATAGGCTATGCTTCTGTTTTTGCATTATTTTGTTTGTTTCCAGATGATGCTGCAGAGAAAAGACCATCTGTTTCTGAACAATAGGCTGATTGAGTATTGACTTAACTGCTTTGATCTTTAACCCTCATCTCTTTATAGCAGAAAGTCCCCAGACTCATAAAATAAATAGAAAACTACTCCCTCTGATTGTTCATTGACCCAGGTTTTTGTTGCGCAATATGCAACATTCACGCCTATATCACATGTCTGTACCCTCTTACATGCCTTCGACACTCGAGTTCAACTCATCTTTTTATTTGATGTATACTCTCTCTCTCTATGACACTTGAACTTTACTCTGTCACTGTTTATCTCTTTCAGCAATCGCTCTCTCTCCCTTTTTTTCTCTCTCTGCTGATCCTCTCTCTGCACTCCTCATTTCCTGTTAACCTTGGTGCCTAATCTAACAAGCCCCATGTCATTACTTGATCAACCCCTCTAAGAGGCATAAGTTGGATTTGGGACTGAGAGTGCAGCGCATCTCACTCTTCCACCCCCTCCCCGTCAGTCTCTATCACTCCACTCCTCATTCATGCTCACCGTCTCTCTGCCATCTTTCCTTCTCCAAAAAAAACAAAAACAAAACAGAATGGAGATCTTGCCCTCAGCCTATGCTTGTCCTGGGGTTCATGGGTAAGGGTTTTCATACATTCTCATACATATTCTATTACAGCCATAAGCAGTAGAGAAGCTTTAAAGGAAAAAAATCAACCCGATATGTAAGAAAGCTATAGGATTATGTTTCAGAAACCATCCAAATAAAAAATGCTTAGCAAGTGTCAAACCAGGTGATAATCCCACTCAACCTGAAACATTCACATGGCCTTGTACATTGTTGATTAAATCATCAGAAAATGTGGATAAACTCTCCAGGAAAAGCAGGTCGTAGTATATCGTCACTGTAATCATATGTAATAATGAACAGCAATAATAAGGGTTGAATTTGTTCTTTAAATCTCTGTAGTATGTGTGTTGTGTTAGATCTAGTTATCCTATTGCATCCACTCATCTTTTCATTGTGGGCTATATTTAGTAGTAGCCTATTCTGTCCTCTTCAAAGCTGGTTAGTGTGCACTAAATATTTTTGACAGTCTTTTTGGACCAAAGGTCATAATCACTATTTAGAGTTCATAGTAGGTCTTAAATGATTTGTTGATCACTCAATCCATAGAAACTCATAATTCAAAGGGATAGTGTGAAATTTAAAAAACTGGCAAGGAAGAGGCGAGGAGGAGGCAGTTAGGTTAGCCACTGGTTGGCAGGCAGAAACTGCTGGCCTGGTTCTGTCATAACAAAATTCACCGACCAGCGCCTCTAACGTTCTAGCTCACTAAATCACTTTGCTAAACCTAATCTTCTTTGTCAAATTCGTACAAAACCACAACATGATCTTTTTGTAAGGATCAAATATACGAGACATGTTGATTTGTCAGCTTTAGAGGTGCTGCTGGGAAGATTTTTGTAATCGCTGTACAGAGCCAAGCTAGCTATTTCCACCTGTTTCTAGTCCTTCCAAGCTACGCTAACTGGCTGCTAACTGTATCTTAATTTACCGTACATAAGAGTTATCGATTTTCTCATCTAACTAACTCATGGCAAGAGAGTGAATAAGCCTATTTTTCAATAACAAATGCTAAAACATTATTTAATCATAATTTGAGGATTTGCTGAATTTCTCAGTTCTGTATCATTTTAACTATATCTTTGTGCTCAGACCATTTGTCTGAACAAACAAGTAATTTAAAAAGCATCTTTATTAGTGTAATCATTAGTTCCAGCACAGCAACAGTTAGAAACAGTTTACAATATATATCAGTGGCACTTAAATGGAAGCAATGACTGAATACAGTACATAAATAGAATAGTGAATGAATAGACAGATGTGTCTCCTGTACAGTCCTGTTTTAGTTTCTTAAGTGCACATTGTGTCCACTAGAATGCAGATTTTAGGAGTATTGTAGTTTTTTTTTAATCTATCTTTACCCATTAGACCTGCAAGATGAAATTAATTTTAAAGAGTAAATTGCGGTGTGGATTTGCATTAGTTTCCTCATATCCTTTGTTTTAAAATGGGTCTTCTTGACACATAGAGAATGCGTACGTGTGTTTTTACATTAATTATGAAAACTAATCCACTCATGCTTGGCCCATGTCACATGAGGAGGCAAACTATGAGCTTCATATAGAAATGCTGCTGATTAATGCTTATATGTCAAGGCTTTGACAAATGCTGCTTATTGACCTTGCAGTGATGGTAGGGTAATATGAGTAACGCTGTCTTGACATGAGGCAGCACATACTGAAACCCCAGCTCTGCTGCTGCTGCTGCTGCTGCTGGGATCTGATCACTGTGCGGGCTTGAAATCACACCAAACTAAGAGTCAGCTGATGTTCTGCTAATCTGTCACAATTGGGTTGGGTTCTTCACAGCTGGTTTTCAAGCCCAGGGATTAAATGACCAGAGAGGGACAGGTGCATATCACACTAATGCCACTGTTTTATTTGGCACCCACTTTTGTTTTGATTTCTGAGGCATGATTTTAATAGTCTGGTTAAAAGGTTAACAATAAAGCTATGATTTGTTAACGAATGTCAGCTATCTTACTTTGAATTTTAATTATTTTAGTGTAGGTGATATGCATATTTAATTGAAAAATTTGTAGACCAACACAGTCAGGTAGTGCTTGATTACAGTTAACAATTTCTGACTTTTTCATCCATTTACACTTTTAGTTCACCACAATCTAATGTTAGTGACAAATTTACTGTAGTTCTACTGTGGCAGGGGTTTGTGTGCACCTACCTACATTAATCACCCTCCTGGTGGTGCAGAAGCATATGGTGCAGACAAAACTCACCCAGCTGTTTGGATAAAATGATTATTAAGGATTTTCTAGTCTCATGCATTAATATGCTGCTTGCTGGCATAATGTGAACCTTGACTTTTCATCTGTGACGATGTGGATGAGTCCCTGGGTTGTATTACTTTTCTCTTTGTGGGAATTGACTCGGTGCAGAGTGCTGCAGGCAAGCACATATGCTTATAAGACCTCCAAACAACAATTTGGGAGGGTGATTCTACAAAAGAGATGCACACCCACTCTCTTTTCCTTACGATCCCCACGAAAGCAAAAAACACATTTGATGAAGAAACGTGACGTCTAAGATTGGATTTCGGAGGATTTGTTGTGATAAGTCCTTCATAAAGCTTGTTTATTTTTTTATAGCCTATGTTTACAACAACACAGCATTTTAAAGCCAGATGTGTAGAGAGGAACAGATTGTGATGAATGGAAATACACAGTTGTGAAAGCACTGAGATGGATGCACACACATTTACTGCTATGTCATGACCTTGGTGTGGGAAAATATTTAGACAAAAATTGCTGACAGACATCGTTATGTAGAAAGACTGCAGAGCTGTCTGCTGGGGGATTGCATGAATGCCAAACTATAATACTGTAGATATTTTAGAAGGGCCAATACGGGATTAGATTCTGCATTAAGGGTGGGAATCTGTAACTAATGATTCAACACTACCATGATATGTTACACACAATAAAGGTATAGTGATATAATAATGTCTTGTGTACTACAGAATCAATTATCTATAAATGAAGAGAAAATACACCCCTATAATTACAAAATCATTTGTCAATAAGGAATCAGTGTATTTGTTTACTGCATTATGTAATGCATTCTGTCACAAAACTTTAGTCCATAGCTTTTTTAAAAAACACACTATCATGCAGAAATATACAAATAAAAATGTCAAACTGTCTCAGAAAGCAGAAATATCTAAGGAAACACTTATAATAGTAGGAATGTCTATCAATTTCTGATGTCAAATGATGGTATGGTTTCCTTTATCTATGAGAGAAATTTCTATACAGCTCATTTTTGCATTACATTGTATTATGACGTTCTTTGACAGTAAGTGCTCTTACTTAATGTCAACGTGTATAGTAGTCTTGGATAGTTGTACAATGCCCAAATCACATAAATATATGGTTGTGGCGTGTGTGCAACTGTGTGATTGTTTTGCAGACGAGAGACACGGAACCCTCCGGCTGAGCAACCTCACTAAAAGCATGTCAGGGAAGTACATCTGCCGAGCCAGCAACACTGCCGGATCAGACACCTGCTCCATTAACCTGGAGGTTATCACTTGTGCGTACACATTAAAACCTTTTTGTTCCACTGCACGCCAGCGTTTCAACACTGTTTTTAAATAACAGCTGTGATGCTCATTGAGTGTAAATACTGATCTGACATCTGTTTTCCAGCTTCCAATGCAGGCATGATTGCAGCAGCTACACTGGGGTTGATAGTGGGACTGGTGGCCATGGTGCTTTTCCTCATATTCATACTGAGGAGGAGAGGGGACACTGAGGAGGAGATAGCCAACGAGATCAAGTGAGAGTTTCACATATCATATTCATATCGCATAGTTGCACAATATTGAATAATGAATTCTAAAGTAGTGTATTGCGCACTTTTAATTTAAATATACTGCTATATACACAAAAGTGCAATAACTTGTGGTTTGCAAACACTTTAAACAAATAAGGTGCTTTTTACCAGCAGTTTTTCCTTTACACAGTAACAGTGAAATATTTCTTGTAAATCTCATATTAAACATTAATGTAATCAAATCAAATATAAAACCAAAGCTATATATATAAGTGAACCTAGAATATTTTCAATGGAAGTCTATATATTATATATATATATATATATATATATATATATCTGGCAAATGCCAAGCCAAATTACGTATCCTCGTTCTCCCGATCGTTCTTTTTCATCGTGGAAGACCAAATGCAGGAAAGGTCCCAGGCCAAGCAGTTTCTGTTTATCAGGTAAACAGAAATACGCCTTTAACCTCACAGGTGCTCCCCACAAAAGCCCTTATCTACAGTCTTTGTCTGTGCACCCAAAAGGGCTCTTACACAGGCAGTAACAATAGAATTGAATGCATTTCAATTGTTGTTCAAAGAGTAAGATCTTGTGTTTAACCATTAACCAGCTGTTATCGCACTCTCTACAAAGCCATTAAACTCCATTGACAAAAACAGTAATTTTAATGTTACCACTGCCAGGTTATTACGTGATTTAAGCTTTTAAAGCTTTTTGTGTGACTTTGGTGTTCAAAAGATTAGTTCGGATCTGAACTAACTTAAGCTGTTGTGGGGGGCACTTGTGAGGTTGAAGGCTTGTTTCTGTTTGCCTGATAAATGGGAACAGCATGGCCTGGGAGGTTTCCTGCATTCGGTCTTCCACGATTAAAGATAATAAGGATAAATTACTTCATCAAAAGAACGGTACTGGATATGGTTCCCAGTATTTTGGCTCATACATGTATTTGCTGGTGTGTTTGTAATCTCTTCATTGCTCCAAATAGCTGACACTAGATTTTTTTGCTGATTTGCTCATAGTGTCACATTTGTTACATCCATACAGATTAATCGCATCGAAAACACAAGATGGCGCCAGTGCCTTAATATCAGATTTCATTCCATATATTCAGACGGACAAACTTCATATATATACATACAGTGGGTACGGAAAGTATTCAGACCCCTTTAAATTTTTCACTCTTTGTTTCATTGCAGCCATTTTCCAAAAATCAAAAAAGTTCATTTTATTTCTCAGTAATGTACACTCAGCACCCCATCTTGACAGAAAAAAACAGAAATGTAGAAATTTTTGCAAATTTATTAAAAAAGAAAAACTGAAATATCACATGGTCGCAAGTATTCAGACCCTTTGCTCAGTTTTAGTAGAAGCACCCTTTTGATCTAATACAGCCATGAGTCGTTTTGGGAAAGATGCAACAAGTTTTTCACATCTGGATTTGGGTATCCTCTGCCATTCCTCCTTGCAGATCCTCTCCAGTTCTGTCAGGTTGGATGGTAAACGTTGGTGGACAGCCATTTCAGGTCTCTCCAGAGATGCTCAATTGGGTTTAAGTCAGGGCTCTGGCTGGGCCATTCAAGAACAGCCACGGAGTTGTTGTGAAGCCACTCCTTCGTTATTTTAGCGGTGTGCTTAGGGTCATTGTCTTGTTGGAAGGTAAACCTTCGGCCCAGTCTGAGGTCCAGAGCACTCTGGAAAAGGTTTTCGTCCAGGATATCCCTGTACTTGGCCGCATTCATCTTTCCCTCGATTGCAACCAGTCGTCCTGTCCCTGCAGCTGAAAAACACCCCCACAGCATGATGCTGCCACCACCATGCTTCACTGTTGAGACTGTATTGGACAGGTGATGAGCAGTGCCTGGTTTTCTCCACACATACCGCTTAGAATTAAGGCCAAAAAGTTCTATCTTGGTCTCATCAGACCAGAGGATCTTATTTATCACCATCTTGGAGTCCTTCAGGTGTTTTTTAGCAAACTCCATGCGGGCTTTCATGTGTCTTGCACTGAGGAGAGGCTTCCGTCGGGCCACTCTGCCATAAAGCCCCGACTGGTGGATTGCTGCAGTGATGGTTGACTTACAACTTTCTCCCATCTCCCGACTGCATCTCTGGAGCTCAGCCACAGTGACCTTTGGGTTCTTCTTTACCTCTCTCACCAAGGCTCTTCTCCCCCGATAGCTCAGTTTGGCCGGACGGCCAGCTCTAGGAAGGGTTCTGGTCGTCCCAAACGTCTTCCATTTGAGGATTATGGAGGCCACTGTGCTCTTAGGAACCTTAAGTGCAGCAGAAATTTTTTTGTAACCTTGGCCAGATCTGTGCCTTGCCACAATTCTGTCTCTGAGCTCTTCAGGCAGTTCCTTTGACCTCATGATTCTCATTTGCTCTGACATGCACTGTGAGCTGTAAGGTCTTATATAGACAGGTGTGTGGCTTTCCTAATCAAGTCCAATCAGTATAATCAAACACAGCTGGACTCAAATGAAGGTGTAAACCATCTCAAGATGATCAGAAGAAATAGACAGCACCTGAGTTAAATAGAGTGTCACGGCAAAGGGTCTGAATACTTATGACCATGTGATATTTCAGTTTTTCTTTAATAAATTTGCAAAAATTTCTACATTTCTGTTTTTTTCTGTCAAGATGGGGTGCTGAGTGTACATTACTGAGAAATAAAATGAACTTTTTTCATTTTTGGAAAATGGCTGCAATGAAACAAAGAGTCAAAAATTTAAAGGGGTCTGAATACTTTCCGTACCCACTGTATTCTTTCCTAAATGGCATGCCATAATATATATATATATTGATAGATATAGATAGAAATATAGATAGATGGATATGATTAAAACCAGCAATAATATAATGAGATAAAATCAAACGTCATAATAATACTTATGAATGACATCAGCCGACACTAGAAAAGACTTAGCAAGTAATAATTTCACCTAATTCCTTTTTTGACAATGTTAATTTTTTTCTCTCTGCTTCCTTCTGCCATAGGGAGGATGCTCAGGCACCAAAGCGAGTGTCATGGGCAAAGAGCAACACCGGTTCAGACATCGTATCCAAGAACGGCACACTGTCCTCCATAGCCACCAGTCCTCGCCCCAGAGAACCCCACCAGCCGAACTTCCGTTACCCATACTCCCCCATGTCAGCTTCAGACACGGGCTCGGTGATCAACGCCTACCAGCTGCGACCTGGAGAAGCCAACACGCTACAGGGACTTCCTGGTTACAACATCGGAGGCACCCCATCGCGTAAACACAAACGACCTCCCAGTACAAACGGGGGCCCTCCGCAGCTTCTAAGGAGCCCTGCAGTTACCGTCCCCAACAGGACTGAGGGGGCTCAGCCTCAGGTGCCACCTCCGCTCACTGTGTCCCCACAAATGAGCTCCTCCACTCTGACACGCATGGGAGCCATTGCTGTCATGGTGCCTGCACAAAGCCAAGCTGGTTCACTGGTGTAGCCAGCAAAAACCTTTGATGGGAAAATTAAAAAGGACAGCGGTTATGGATGGAGAGAAAGTATGCCTTGAAACAGAAAAGCACTTTCTCCATAAAGACCTAAGAGGTTGTGAGAAGAAAATGTCTCTCAGTTTATTTGTGCTTGATTTGCACAAGTTCTCTTCAGTTTGTTCATTTTAGTTTCTTTTTGTATGCCGACTTCTGGTTCAATAAAGAGAAATATATTTTTATTCACACTCTAATAATGTCATCCTCAAAATGATCCAACAGTGTTAAGATTTTTAGGCAGTATAGGCCTACATTATTCCATTATTCCAGAGAGTTGTGTTAATTTAATGCAGTGTGTCTGGAGACTGTAAATCATAATGAACAGTTCAGTTCACTTAGTTTTGCAGTTATTACAAAATATGGCTTGGCTACATTTGAATGAGATTTTTTATATATATATATATATAAAAAATCTCTCTCATATCAATTTCCCCTATAACTGGCTGTGTAAGGATCACTATTCAGACACTTCTCTCAGGCTAACTGCACTAGTTCAGAGCAAAATCACAATTCAGGTATTTCAAACTTAATATTTATCTTAATGTCTCGCTTTATTTTACCCACATTTACATTGTGTTCACATAAAGGTTGTTTCTTTTAACAATGTCAGTATGGTTTCATGACACTGATGTCTACTGAGAGAACATACTTAATGAGTATATTGCCTGCTATGGTAGATGGAATGTAACCAAAATAGTGAGTTCAACATTGAAGTTTATGGTTTCTGACTATTTTGTTCAAAGGTGCTTGGTATAACATGATTTAATTACTGTAAACATATTAGGCCATTAGTTGGGGTGAGTGGGGCTGTTGGTCTTTATTTCTTTTTCTTGTAAGTATACTTAACTCTGCAAGTTTGTGGCAGTGACGTTGCTGAAATACAGTATGTAGCACTTTTAATGCAGTTTTGATTGTTGACCTTTTTTTTAATAAAGTGTTCTGGAGTGTTTGATTTTAGCATGACTGACTTATCACTTCACCTATAAACACACATTACTCATGCAAACAATTTAAATAAAATGTGAATAATTATTCCGAGTTAGTGTAACAAAAAGGCTAATTCCTTTAATGAAAGTTGAGATTTTATTCGGAGTGATCAGCAAATATTATTTGCAAAGTGATATTTCAATACCTAACCCACAGTACACAACTTAAATATTTTTATCTCGTGTAGTACACTGTACACTTGGTTTTACTGTAGCTTTTTACATACTACGTAATGTAAGTATACAGTAACCATAAAGATAAAAAATAGGGATGCACTGATCCAATACTGATATCGGCCCAATACTGACTGAAATAGCTGGATCTGGAATTGGTGACAAGGGGGGCGATCAATTCAATTACGGGGCATAGTATGCCATGCTCCAACAGTGCGGTGGTAGACCCAAATATTTTGCTAGGCTAGCTAACATAGCATTTTGTTTTACAAATTTGTAAAAGTTGTTTAAGTAAAGACTGCTGTTGACTTACACATAAAAGAATGATTCCCGGTCTTTTCCTACAATACAGCTCATTTTACACTGGTATTGGATCAGTATCCGGCATCGGCCAACACCCAAAGCCCAGGTACTGGTATTGGGGCTGAAAAAGTCAGAGCAGTGCATCCCTAATAAATACCATCTCAAAAGGCCACTTTCTGAGACTGCATGGGATATTCAATAGAACAACCTAACCGTTTTACTACCAATGAAATTGGTGTTAAATCCTTTAAAGCAATAGGAAAAAATTTATCAAAACTATTTATCTAAAACTATTTTCACAAATGAGTGAAACTGTTGTGACATGCAGCTTTTTATAGGAATACTAAAAACTCTATATCCACACTAGCAGCTTTGCAGGAAACAAACGGTTTTGGATGAAAAATCAAAACAAAATGTAAATATTTTATTTTCATTTATGGAGGAGCGCCAGGAAAAAAATTCTATGTAGTTACCAAAAGTAAGACAGTTTTTAGCTGTGCTAGCAGCATGGCTCTAGTGATGTGGGTCTGTCGGTTCACCACTTTGATCCAGAGCGAAATATCTCTATCTATTGGATGATTTGCCATAAAATGTATATACATTTGTGGTCAAGGTGGATAAATCCTGATGACTTTGATGAGCCTCTGATTTTTCCTCTAGAGCCACCATTATGTTCACCTCTTTGGCTTTTAGTGAAATTATTCAAATCGGACAGACTGTGGGGATTTGTTCCACATGTTCATTTCCCTCTCAGGCTGAGTTGTACTTTTGGTGATCCCTTCCCTTTTCCTCCAGCACCATCATCAGTTCATAATTTAAGTTTTTGTTTTTTATGATTAAAAACCTGCAGACTAATGATATTCCCATCAGCCTCACCTGTAATTTGTGTTTGTGTTAATTAGCCAATGTTGTTAACAGGCTAAACATGGTAAAAAAAAGTATACCTGGTAACCATCATGTTAGCATCGTCATTGTGAGCATGTTAGCACGTTGTCGTTTATCTCAAAGCACTGCTGTGCTTAAGTACGCCCTACAGAGCAGCTAGTATGCTGTAGACTCTTAAGTCTTGTTCCCATGTACCGTGGCGAGGACATCACTCGGGCTCACCTGAACGTTGTCAAATTTTGCAGACATTATCAGAATTCATCAGTTGCTTACTGTATTTAAATAAACCTTACATTCACCTGTGCACTGAGCTGAATGCTAATGTTGGTATGTAATATGCTACTAATAGCTTTTTAACATTAATCTCAAAATATAGCATGAAATTCAGTAAATACATTTAGAAGAAGTGTTGAAATTTGACCTGCAGGTGGCGCTACATGAAAAGTTGGGGTTGCCAATGTCATTTGGATTAATCCTCTTTAAATCATGAATGCACCTTTTCTTGTAAATCTGTGCAATTGTTACAAAGATATTTCACTCTGGACCAATGTTACACAACAGACAAATGAATCAACATTGCTGTCCCTAGGACCTTGCTGCCAATGTAGTGGACAAGACCCGATGTTATACCGGAAAAACCTATGTTTTACAGACTGGGTTACCCCGAATCCTGCAATGACCTTTGTGACCTTTTGAAAACCTACAATGCAGAGGGCATTTCTGGAAACCAGTAACACAGCAACAAACCAGAGATCACGGCCATAACATATGGTCACTTGAAGTCACTTGAAGACCCAGGGAAAAAGATTTATCATGACTCCGTCAGCAGATTTCGGGAAATGATCATCCTCATCACCTCATTTGTGCCTTTAGGGGAAACATAAGAGGAATTTAAGAATAATTGTTATAAAACTTTAGCAAGAAGACCCTCTTAAATGTAAGGAAATGAATCCTATTAACATGTGATCCACAAGACATACAGAGTAAGGTCACTGTTATAAAAGCTCACCCTCTAGGATCTGATGTACTCTGATGTCCCGGACAAACTGCTGCACTGCGTAGTCTTTGAGGTAACCGTACCCACCGTGCATCTGAAGAGCCTGGTTGCAAATCTGTTGAGTAAGAACAGGTAACCATTTATAAAAATAATAATAAATTGTGAAAATGAACATTCTTAACATTACTCAGTATTACTCACATCAAAGCACTCATCTGTTGCAAAAAGCTTTGCCATGGAGCAGAGAGAAACTGCATCAGGCCGGTTCTCCTGCAGCGCTGTCGCAGCTTCACGCACCAGAAGGCGAGATGCGACCAACTTGGTGGCCATTTCTGCCAGTTTGAACTGAAGATACTACACACATAACACAGACAGGTAAAGAAGTAAGAACAAATTCAACATTACTTTTCATCATCACTGACAGGAGCAGAGGCTAAATGTTTTGGCTCTTGGTTCACTGGATTCTCAGATGAAAAGACTGAAAAATGGGGGCTTCTTACCTGGTTGTTGGAGAGTGCCTCTCCAAACTGCTTGCGTACCAGCAGATGATCCCGAGCTAGCTGTACGCAGGCATGTGCCGCCCCAAGAGAGCAGGATGCTGTGTGAGTGTTCATATTAAAAATGCTGATTAAGAAGCTGCTGATGGTTGATCTCATGTCAAGCAAATAGTAAAGAACAGTTCTTAGTCATCTGGATATGTTTCTTATGCTCTTAAAGCAAGAGTATGTAACTTTATCTAAACAACAGCCAATGTTTAAACAGTAGGTCAGAAGTAGAACAGTAGCACAACTAGAGTCATATCGTTAGTAAACAGACTTTAAAGTCAATTAGGGCTGCAACTAACAGTTAGTCTGAGGTCTGAATATATGGAATGAAATCTGACGTCATTGATGTGAAGTGTGACACTGTTAGTGAATCAGCAATCATTCCATATATTCAGACTCACAAACGTCATATTTTATATATAGTACAACAGATGGGTAACTATTTGATCGTGTTTTCCTCCTCACCAATATTAATCCTGCCTCCATTCAGGCCTTTCATGGCGATGCTGAACCCTTGTCCTTCCTCACCAAGCCGGTTGGCCACTGGAACAGCACAATCCTCAAAAATCACGGCCCTGGTTGGCTGGGAGTTCCAACCCACCTGGAGAACCGATTGAAAAACAGTTCAGTGACTATGACTTAATTCTGCCATCTAGTGGTAACCTATAAACACTAACTACAGAGCAAAATGAGTCAATCCAACACCAGTGAACTCTACCTTCTTTTCTTTTTTGCCGAAACTGAGGCCTGGGGTTCCCTTCTCTACCACCAAACATGAGATGCCCTTTGGTCCTTTTCCTCCTGTTCTGCACATCACAACATAGATGTCTGTGTCTCCTCCTCCACTGATGAAGGCCTAGAAAGTCATGAAGAGACATTGACATGTTTCTGGCTCACAGTTGTCTTTTTTATAAAGAAACTATTTACAGTTATGTAGTAAGCATAGACATTTGAAATTACCTTTGAACCATTCAAGATGTAATGGTCACCTTTCAGCTGTGCAGTGGTCAGAAGTGAAGCAGCATCACTGCCACTGCCTGAAATCAAAGATCACAGGTTAACTCTGTTGATGATCTTTAACTGACACATGTATAGGGCAACAGCATTGTTAAATTATCAATCACTTATACTAACTATTAACATATCACACAGAAACAGTATCTTTAATTTGCAATTCATTTTCTTTTACATATAAAGACTGACCTGGTTCTGTGAGACAATAGGAAGCGAACTTTTCCATTGAACAGAGATCGGGACAGAACTTCTCCCTCTGCTCAGTATTGCCAAAGGTGTCAATCATCCAGGCACACATGCTGCAAAGAGAGGAGCATACTGCAAATTTGTTGGCAAAGAAAATATACGTCATAGCTATCATCATAGTGTCTATTATGCTAGTGAGTGGTCAACATGCAATTCATGTGTCGTTCACAAGATCAAAAAAGCATTTTTAATTCAAACTAAAAAAACGGCGTCAAGTCAGTTTTCAATCGAAGAGATGCTCTTTACGTACTAAGAACCAAATAACTATTCTTTTCATCATATTTCAATTGCAGCTACATGCTATTTTTTTGCCATAAGAGGGGTTCATACTTGTGGATACTTATGTAAGCTGTGGTACTGGCACATCCTGTGGACAAGGCCTCAAAGATGACTGATGTGTCCAACCGAGAAAGACCCGACCCTCCGACATCCGGCTGAACGTAGATCCCACCAAACCCCAACTGGGCTGCCTTTCGCATCGTCTCTACTGGAAACATTTCCTATGGGGAAAAGGTTGAATTATGTTAAACTACCATAACTGTGACAAAGTGACAAATCTAGATATTAGCATCTAACCCAACAGTTGCTGGAGTGCTTCCTAATGAGCCAATAATTTCAAAATGATCGTAATAATAGTTCACTTTCAGGATGTGGACCAAATATTATGAAGCATACGTCTGCTGCTTTGGCATCGCTAACAAACAGTATACAGTATGCCTTGGTGTACACACCTTCTGGTCCCACTCCGCCATGTGTGGGGCCATTTCATTGGCTGCAAAGTCAAAGGCCACTTTTTGAAACTCCTTCTGTTCATCTGTGAGTCCACGAGAAGCTGTCAACAAAAGAGCAGAGAACATCCGAAAATGCACGGATGAGGTGATGCACAGATACAGTATGTACACTGCTGCTTTTGATATTGTTAGCTTGCCTTGCAGTAAGTTACCCTAAATTTAGATGAACCAGACACATTATTCTTCTTCAACAAGTGCTATAACTTACTAGTGCAAGGCAGCAAACCACATCTGTTAAAGAAACATGTGGCTTCAAGCAGTTTCAAGGGGTGTAACTATTAAAGTAGAGTAGGAAAGCCTCTAGACTACAGACAACTAATCATTAAGTATTAAATTATCAAATCAGGCTTGCTAAAATGACCTGACCTATCATACAACCTGTCTAGAAGAGGGGCGGTGTTAAGTAGGGGCGTTTAGCTCCTTCTGCTTCATGACTAGAAGACCATGAGGAACGAAACTAACCGATGACAGCTAAACTAGAAAGAAAATTACCATTAAAGCACCGAATGGACAATGGGTCTTTACTTGTTTTATTAACGATCAAAAGACTGCTTGTTTTGGTGTTGATGAGCTGTAAATGTGAACACAGTTAACGTTAACAAAGTCACAGTCGTCAGTTATGGTCACCGGTGCAATCAACTTATGACACACAGGTGTCATAGTAACTATATCACCATAGTATATGACACACAGCTGTCATTAAACTAAAGCAAACAGTTCTCGTTTTCTGGGACTTACGGTCGATACTTGAAGCTATTCCTCGTCTCTGGGTACTTCTGTTAAATATTAAACCATGGTTCCTGCAGATGCTGGAGGCCAGTTTGGCAATTCTTCTTCCTAGAGGTCCGACAGCCGCCATGTTTACCTCCACAGTGGTTGAGTAACCTATATCACACAGCCGCTGCTGCTTCTGGGAAATGTAGTTAGTGTGTTGTCGCTCGTTGAAGTCTGTTTTCGAGTGTGGAATGGGCTTTGTTTCCCCTTGCTGCTGTTCGGGGGAGAACACCAAAGAACAACCACTCCTGCTCCTTCTTGTTTAATGGCAGATGGAAACTATGCCTGGACTTAAAATCAGGCATGCTAGTTAGAAATTATGTCCGACTTTCACCGGCATTGCAAAACATCACCATTTCACCTGACGTTAAAACCTCGCGGGAGAAAGGCGGATGCGCCGGCGGTCGCAGTTGCTTTTCCCCGGCTGCACCAAGTTGGAACCATGGTTTCCCCCCCCCCCCAAAAAAAGGCAAAAACAACAGTTCAGGGGGGTCTTTCTTACCTTTTATTGTAAATATTTCAATACATTTCCCGTAGTCATGTCTTATATTTAAGAATCTTGAAATACGATTTTAGACACCCCTAAAATGGACCGTACCATTTCCTAACATTGACATTAGTTGAACGTCCTGTCCATCTGCATCACGCGCAGCGGCAGCTGCTCCAATCCGGTGCATCACACGCTAATGGAGACGCAGCAGGTTAATGTCAGTAGCTATCTAGCTGCTTTAATACACTTAACTTCTCTATCTTCAGAGATTCGTAATTAGCATTAGCTGAGAGCCCACCCTATTATTTCATTATCACTATGTAACGTTAATTTCATATTTTATGTAATTGTCAGCTAACACTGGGGCATGAGCAGTGAAATTGGGGATTAATTATTATAGAGATACATTTTTACATCAATATAGAGATTATTATTTCATATGAAGTCTTTTTCACAAAATACCTTTCACAATAAACATGGCATTTGTTCTGGACTTCCCAAAAAATCCCAATTCCCCAACATCAGTGTCTGACTATTGCTTTATTGGACGCATATGGAAGCGTCACAGTCAACATGAGCAAGAGGAAAGGAGATATTTGCTGAAAAATAGTAAGTTGAAACTTTAAACTAGATGAGAATGATAAATTAGAGGAATTAGAGATAATAATGCAGACCGTATTTTATGTATCAACACTGTGGGTTTGTTTTGAACGATCCTGATGGTCTGCTGTTTTGCTGGCAGTTTGCTCTAGAATACTTGGTGACCACTGACTACAAAAGCTGTCGTGTGGTATGGGCACCCATGAACTGATGTAATTAATTTATCATCATCTACAGACTGATGACATTAGTTAAATAAGCAAGGACATTGTAAGCATTGTACGATTTTAGTTCACTGAAGCCCGCGCCTGTGCTGTACGGAGTTTTCTTTTGGACCTGGGAAAAAAAGTTGACCCCCGCAGTCACTTGCAGCTCACGTTTGACTATCAAGGCTGACTTCAGCGCAGAAACATGTTGTTCAATCCGAAAATGTTGTGAACTCGCCCCAAGTCAGCGAAAGTCAGCCACCGTCATCTCGAAGGCACCTATTAATTTGAATGACTTTTGCCGGACACCCACTACAACCGCGTGCTCCTATAGGTCCAGCACCAGTGAGTGTTTTCGGCCCTCAGGGGGCAGTAAGGAGCCTATTACAATTTGTCGCACTACAACAAGTCGAAGAAGACGTCGCACCAGTAAACTTAAATTGGACAAGCCACACAGATGTGAGATTTATGCTTTATTGGAAGTGTTGTCAAACTGTATTTTTTTAGTTTTACAAGAGAACAGAATTGAAGGCTGAAGACTAACTGGTTGTTTTGGCCCCACCTCCGTTAAAGACCTGCGCACAGCAGCTTCCGTGAGCTTTTCTATGGTACCTTCCAGGAGTGGTTCTCCCATGCACTAGATAAGAAAGTCCTAAACGGGGCTAGTGCTCAACCTATAAAAGGTTCATCCATGTGTCGTTGCCCATTGGAGATGGAGAAATAGCTTTTACAGCACAAACGGTAGTAGCGGGTTAATAAATCAAGTGCACCGGTAAGTTTGTTGACGTCACGTGTTGTAGGTATTGATGGCTTCCCGCTCAACTCGCATAGAGAACCGCTTACCTGGAGCAGTATTCAGCTAAAGGTACGGCTTATCCGTGCTTAAAGAGGTTATTCCTCTGAGCTGCACTATAATCTGTATTACTTTCAAACTGTGAGGCACGTTTAGTTTACATGTGTTGCACAAGTTAAGATCTAACTAGCTAATGTTAGCTAATCGCTGCCATCCATGTCTGATGATGATCATGAAGAGGAAGCATAGTACTCCAAATGTCAAGTGCTCGTTTGAAGTGGTGAATGCAAGTTTATAAATTAAAGGAAATTGAAATCGGGCATATTATATTATATTTCTATTTCCACTGTAGTTATTAAGGAAGCCATAGTGAGCAGTTGGAGACTCTGAAGCTGATGATACACGGAGCAACTTTTAGATCAATGGTGCTGGACAATGTTGCTGTCAATGGTAACGTTAATGAGTAAAGACTACTACCGTAATCCCCTTCCCCCATCACTCTCCGCACCACAGCTATGCGTTCAAAACATAGTCGGACTTGCCACCAGCAACATTGCTCAAAAAGGTGCCCCGTGTATCATCAGCTTTAGTTTATCTATGTAGTGCAGCTATAGCTAAAACTAATACAGCCTAATGCCACAGCCCTGCAACAAATCATCCCTTCATGCAGGTGAACATGTTTAGTTGACGTAATCACATGAAACAGAACCAAAGGCTACAGCAAAACAAAGTTTTAGTAAAAACTGAACATAACCTCGTGAAAGTAGGATTTATTGCATGGCTGTTGTGTTAGACTGCATTAGTTAAAATTAGATGCAACCTAACTGACAATTTACTATACACAATCTAATGCCAGTAATCTCTGATTCCAGCTTCAATGTGAATATTTGGTGGTCTTCTTTGTCATTGATTGTAAACTCTATCTTTGGACTGTCTGACATTTTATAGACAAAACTATTAAAATTGAAAATAATATCATAAAAACAGTTGTTAGTTGCAGCCTTAGTGGCAAGCGTTGAAAAAAGATTTGTGATTTGATGTTTTGTGGGTTGGTAATAGGGAATTTTTTATGACAGTATCAATACATATTTCTGATAGAACTTTTGTTGGAAAATTGATTGAGAAATCAGTAGTGGATAAAATGAGCAGAAGAATGCAACTCGTTTTTGGCTAACCCAGCAAAAGATAACTGATGAATTAAAGTACTTCATTACATTAATGCAAAAGTACCATGAAAATGCCATATTGCCTAAAGAGGACCTAAAGGGACACGATATGAATAAAATGAACAAATCTCTGATGGTACACAATTTGATATCATCTCAAGCTATAGCCTATATCGCACCCAGCCGTATTATGGATGACGCTTGTTAATGTTTTAAACATGTCTTTATAGACTGTGAGAGATGTCACCAAAGAAAAGGGCCAGAGTGAATAAAAGAGCTCAAATGCTGGTAAGCAAATGAAATCAGAGTAAAATGTCTTGTCTGATATGTCATTTACTAATGAGTGACAATCACTGACTCATCTACACAGGCAAAGATGATGCTTGTAAAACGGATTCTTCCACAAAAGAAACAGCTGGCAGTAAAAGAAAAGCGGCAGCTTCTGTTGAATCTGGCAAAACTAAGAAGAGCTCAGAATCAGTGGTTCTTCACAGTACTGCCACTGGCTAATGAAGTCTGAGCCTGACAGCCGCTTTGAGAATGGGATCGATGTGAAGGTACAGAGCAGCGACTGCCTCCTCAGCACAGTCTGTTCTTGGAAAATGTGAGTGGGCTGCACTCGTCTGATGCCTCTGGTTCATTCTGCAGTTCGGGATCGAGGATCTGAAGGCTTTGCCTAATCAGACCGGCTGCTGGGACGGCGTCCGCAATTATCAGGTAGAGCCGCAAAACTGAACCCTGCAACGAAAAGACGTTCAGCAGAAATGAGGCACCAGCACAATGCCATTCTGAAAAGGCTTTTTGTCATTTTATTCTCCTCGCTTTGTGCAAATTATATTCTTGTTTTTCCTCTTCTCTCTGTGGGAACGTTCCTCTAAATTATCTTTCATCTGCAGGCGCGCAACTTCATGAGGCAGATGAAAGAAGGGCAGTTGGCTTTCTTTTACCACAGCAACTGCAAGGAACCGGGGATAGCAGGAGTCATGAAAGTAAGTCAATCTTTCCCTGCTGACAATATTTTAATGACTTAGACAAAGCCACAGACGTATTATATTCAGCTGCATTTCCTTTTCTAGATTGTGAAAGAGGCTTATGTGGACCACACTCAGTTTGATAAGAAAGATGTCCATTTTGATGCCAACAGTAAACCAGACAACCCCAAGTGGAGCATGGTAAACTAATTCAGGACTTTAAAGTGCAATTATTGATGATAACCAAGCATGAAGGGTGACTGTTTTCTTCTCTTTCAGGTAGATGTCCAGTATCAAAGAATGACGAAGCGTTTTCTTCCTCTGTCTGAGCTGAAAAAGTATCACCTGCAGCATCGCGCCGAAGGAGGGCCTCTGAAGGACATGGCTCTTTTTACAAGGGCCAGGCTCTCTGTGCAACCCCTAACCACTGGCAAGTAAAGAAATTCAAACAGCAAGTCCAAAGTGTTCTTTAGCCAGAGGAGCATGTTACAGATTATATATTCCGCTGTTATTTTAGTGTCTTCTTTCCATATATAATGGTGGTTGTTGTGCTTTTTCTCTGCAGAGGAGTTTGACTTTGTCCTGAGTCTGGAGGATGAAGAGCCCTTGTGAGGATATCATGAGGCAGCAACCTGCTTTACAGTACTGCCATGTTTTGTTCATAGAGATTATTAAATGTGTTTTTGTCAAGTTATGGCTAACATCCAGTTTTTAACTTGTCTCGATACAAAACACCATTTGCCCTTAGAACAGCTTCGGGGCTTGTTTTATTGCCATTACTCAACTTGTAATTTGTGTATAGCAGTGTAACCGATCATTCCTTATAACACCTGAAGCCCATTTTATATGAATTCCACCAGATAAAAATGACCACACTCTGGACTCCATAAATTTTGAGTTCTACTGTTGATGGTGCAAGCAGGAAGATAAAAGGTCTTTGACATCATGCACAGCACAACTTTGTCCTATGAAATTGCCATTATGGATAGCAATGAACCGATTTTATTGCGGTCTGGCCAACCACATTTATTTGCTCTGTATTCACTGTTAATTATTACATATAAGGAATAATACATATAGACCTCAGGTAGTGTCCTCGCACAGATTTCATGTGCTACTAATTGTGAAAGGCGCTGACGACAGACTTGATACCTTGCACAACTTTAATTACAATTCAGGATATTGTTGGTTTCGTGACAGGAAGTGATGGCGAAAAGTACTGTGTCAAATTCAAGGTAACAGTCAGTTTTCAGGTGTTGTACAAGGGCAAGGCGAACAGTTATTCTGTTTTATCTATGCTTAAAATTGGGACTGCTGCTCTATTTTACAAACTGAGTTTGAGATGCACTGGTGGATTGTTTTTCTATAATACTTGTAACATTACACTGATGTAGGGCTGCAACTAATGATTATTTTTATTAATCCTCTGGTATATGAAAAGCAGGGTGTTATCTTTAAACAATCCAAACCCAAAATAGATACAATGTTAAATCTTAGAGAACTAAGAAAACCACATTCACATTTAAGATGTCCAAACTACTGCATTTTTTGGCACTTTGCTTTAAAAATGACTGCAGACTCATTGTTACAGAACAAGTTTGCAGTTTTGTAATTGATTCAGGAACCATTTGGTCCCTTTGACAGTCTGAGGATCCATATGTATAACAAAAATCTGAAAAAAATAAAATAAATGACGCTCAATGATAACACAACTCGCCCATGTACTGTATGTAGCATTGTGTTAGTATGACAGTACAATGTTGATATGGAAGTTAAACACTTTTCTGCAATACAACCAAGTCTGACGGGTTTTTGTTTCATTTGGCATCAATTTATTTCAGTTTGGGGGATAGGGAATAATCGATTAGCATTTTGCAAAAGATATAGTTCTACTGTAACGTTTCTCTGGTTAAAAGACTAAAATTATGTTAGCTTGATACACTTAGGCACAACTTTCAAGTCTCTAATAAAGAGGATACAGAAGACTTCATACTATCAGACCTTAATACAACACCCTTTCCTAACACCGCTGGAATGCTGAGGTAAAGCATATGAACATGAAAGGTAATTTTGTGGCACTGTGTACTTTATGATCAACGTACACAAGCTGTAACATGTAACAGAATTAAAGGTTTTAGCTGGTCTTATTTACAAGTTTTAAAAAAGGTGTGGGATAATACTTAAGCAAAGTCTCGCTCCAAAAGGAAAAAGATTCCAGTTTCCACTAGTGTTGTGCAAATGCATACAAAGAGAAAAATGTGTTGAGCAAGATACAGCAGTGCAAAGTTATCTCAGATATCTTGACCTTATAACAGTGTTAGGAATGCATTCATTAAAAGGCGGAATGTTGGAGATGCATTTTGTTGAAAATTCATGATAGATCAGTTGCGTTAATTAAGAGATTAGAAATCAATTTATCCCCAAAAAGCATTAGAATGCAACCAACAGAGGGCTTAAAAATTCAACAATTTCACGTGAAAGATTTTACACAGTAGACATCGCAACGGGTGGTTAGTTTGATCTCCAGAAAGAAAGAAAACAAATACATTATTAATAATGATGAAGGGAAAAGACCAGCAGCCTGAAGCCACCTTGAATGCCTCATGCAAACCGTTTCATTGTTCACATACTGTATATGTCGGTCTCCCTTTTACCAGCAGCGGTTACAATTAAAACAGCTGCTTCACCAGATGTTGTACAGTTGACAGGTACCTCCACCACTCCAACGCAGACGCTGAGAAGTTTTCTGAGAGGAGATTGGAGGGGCTGCAGCTCTACCCGCTCTCCTCCTTAGCAGCCTGCTCCAGCGCGCTCTCTGAAGCAGCCGAGCCCTCGAACCTCTGAGAGGCGATGGCGGCCTGATGAGACATGCTCTTCCTCACCACGTCCCCTTTCCTCCACAGTGTGATTTCCTGCACAGGGGAAGGGTATGGAGGATTTTAGATTGTATGTTTACGTGTATTGATGATATCACTGCCAGTGTATGCTGACTCCCTATGCATGAAAGCTGAAGACCATGAGTAATCCTGGTCCTAATCCTAATCTTCACAGTTTACATTGCAAAAAATGAAGGGAGATGTACTTTTCAAATGCAGTTTGAATGGTAATCTGTTCTCACACATTGCTGAGAACATTAAACCCTTTTGAAAGGTCTCCTTAATGTGTCATATTAGATGGATATTTAAGAGGGGAACATAGATATGCTACCATCAAATGGAATAGATTACTCAAATCTTTTGTTCAGTTAATCCAGGAACACTGTTGCACATTTACAACTATTTAATCTATTTTGCGAAGCACATCGTTAACTTTGTCATTTGCAATACAAATTTAAAAAATAAAGCTTTTATTTGTTGCTAAATGAAACGCTACTCTGTACATCTAAAGAGTGACTCTGACTACAACTATGTTAAGTAGACTGTTTAGGGCTGGAACTAGCAATTATTTGTGTTTTTTTTGGTAAGTAGATTATGTCAATGTCAGAAGATAAAAAAGACCATTACTTGTTCCCAGAACCACAATTACATCTTCACTTAGCCCTTCTCCAACAGAGTCCAAAAACATTTTACAGTATACAGGTTTTATACATATACAGGTAATCAGGATTCTGCAGCAGAAATGTAACAGTATTTACAGTGATAGGACGTGGGGAATATTCATTTTATTATAATAAATGTAAACACACTGACTGGGAGTGGCCAGTCTGAGGTTTGAGTACAGTCTTTTATCAGTCGCCTACCTGCTGTTTGAAGTAGCGTCTCTCCTCCTCATCGATCAGCACCAGGTTTAGGTAGTAGCGCACTGAGAACTTCTTGTTGATGTCTCGCATGGTGGGAGTCAGATCATAACCAGCCAGAAATAACCGGATGGGAATGGACTCTCCTGAAATATAAAATACATTGTGACAGCCCAGATAATATCACTGTTGAATGAGGAGATGCTTCATGATTAAAATAACTGACTGAAATTATGAAAAAGTTTTGTTTACCCCTGACAGGAGCACCGTCCATGATCTCGTACTTGGCGATAGTGTCATTTTCATGGTATACACTTGGACCGGTGCCTGTTGTCTCGCGTTTGATGATGTCGATCTCCATGTGCTTTATCTTAATCCTCACCAGGAGAAAATAGATTTTTCCCACAATTACATCTTTCAGATGGTACCTGTCAGAGGAGGAAGGAAGCATAAAATGAGAATGAGGTCTGTAGATAACAAGTAGTTTAGTAACCAAGCACAAACAGAATAGTATTTGATTGTTTCTCCAGCATGAAAGAAATCCATTACAGCTCAAATGTTTGGTCGATGAATCAATAAGTCAACAGAGATGAATCACCAACTATTTAAATCAACGATTCACTGTTAAGTTTTATTTTATTTTTTTATTTTAAATTTTAATGTAGTAATGTAATAACGCAATTTTAGTTTAGAAAAATTAAAGTAATGTTGTCTGCGATGGACTGGCGACCTGTCCAGGGTGTACCCCGCCTTTCGCCCGATGCCAGCTGGGATTGGCTCCAGCCCCCTGCAACCCTGTACGCAGGATAAGCGGTTGACGATGGATGGATGGAAGAAATGTTGTGTGAATTGATTTTAAAAACTTGGGGTAAATGAAATGATCGTTTTTTCCATGTCTTAAGGACTGATACGATTAGTTGGTTAATTTCAATTAAGTCAATCAAGAGATAATGACTCAATGACAATTTTGACAGTTGATTAATTGTGAAAATCTCAAATTTGAGGGTTTTTTGCTTTCTCTATTTTCCATCACTAAAATCATAGTGGTACAATTATTTTTGTGTCTATAGATTTGGTCAGGCAAAACAAACACACCGAGATGTCGTCATGGCGCTCATTTTCCCCTATTTTCGAACATTAAATAGATTAAACAGTCGGCTCAGTGAATAAATTGTCTAGAGATGAATCAATAATGTAAATAATGGAGGCTTACTTGGATTTGTTGTACTCAAACTCAATGTGGAGACAATCCTCAATTCCAACTTCCATTTTAATGGAGGAGTTGAGCTCTGGGTAAGTGCTCAACGTGTGCACCACAATGTCCATCTCTTTACTGATGTCATTTAATCTTCTGATCACTGTGGCTCGAAGAAAATATCTGCAAATGCAACAAACAGAGACTGAAAACACAACTGTTTCCACATTATCATATCTAACCCATACAATATATATTTCAAGGTAAATATATGCAACATCAGGCGTTAAAATGTTTATATGTAACCATGTGACAGGCTGGTTGAAGAGTGACAGTCACTCATTTCACTGCCTATAAAGTAGAGTGAATGATCAAACCTACCTTAGCTTGACATTCTGGCCTGTGTAGGACTCATAAGGTTTTTCAACATGAGTGAACTCAAAGTCGAAGGTCTGCGACTGAGTTATTTCACCCGGTCTTGCAAGATCTTTCACCAGGGACACAAACTCATGGTGGTTTCCTCTGTCGTAATACAGCTCTAGAAAACAAAGATGTTATCAACAAAAGAAAAATAAGAGACATCCACTTTAAGACTTTGCAAAATATTTAATGATGGTAAATTTTGTAATAGAGCCGGAAAGCTTTATTTATTTTATGATTGCCTCTTAATAAAGTGAGTTTTGGACAGATCTGTTTTAATTCAAACTTTTTGTTCTATTTATTCTACCTCTAGGGAATTATCTGTTTAGTTTTTGGGCATGTAGGGGAGGGTCTAGTCACTGAACAATATCTATTCAGACAGCACGTCATATGTCACTGTCCAGCAGCAGAACCCACCTTCACTTTAATGTGCATCTTGACAGAAAGCAGAACTATAATAAAGTAAAAAAAAAAGTCAATACATGATATAAAGTGACAGCTCTTGGTTTAAAAATAAAAAATGGCTAGTGGCTGCTTATGCGTAAATAACACACCCAATGGTGGCAGCTGACTCAAATTCAAAAAACTTTTTTGCAGCTCGTGGACATCAGGAAGCCGTGCGTCATTTCCGGTCCACTGCCCGACCCCACCCCACACATTTTGTTGATGTGAAGTTCAGCCGTCTACGTCAGCTTCGCATTTGGTAAAATAGATTTTGTTGGAAAAGAGATATCCCTTTCGTCAATAACCTCATTCCTTAACCAACCACAATGAGATTGTCTCCACCAAAACCACTCAGGCTCCCGTATTTTATCCACAAACACTGAACTGGCCCTGCGGTCCTGCAAGGCCTCTACAGCATGACGTGCTGAAAGTCACGCCTTATGTCACCCTGCCTCAAAATAAGGAAACGCCATCCCAGTTTTATTAACAAAGAGATGTACAACTGTTTGTTTTCAGTCTAATTTCATCCCTGTTAACATTTGCTACAGACAACATGCAAGATCCACTAACCATCAGTTCCACTGTCCTACTTCTGGTGTAACTGCAAGTAATCTGACCTCCATCCCATTAAATGTTCCACACCCTGCCCCAAGAAAGACTGGATGGTAAAACTTCTCAATGTTCAATCAATTCAATTCATATTAGCTTTATTGGCATGAATGTGTAACAACAATATTGCCAAAGCATCATACAAACTACATAAGAACAATCAACCCCATCACTCAATCACAAAGACTTCTTTTTAATGAACTCATATCTCTACTTAAACTTGACACTTGACTGGTTAAACATCAACGGACATGCTGTTCTTATTAAAACATCCCCTTCATGCTATAGTTTTGAGCGTTCTACAAGGCATGGTAAGAAAGGTGGTGGGACTGGCTCTATATCTGCTGACGCCCTAAACTGTAGCATTATCCCTTTTGGTGATTTTTGCTCCTATGAACATCATACTATACTGTTAAAGTCCCAACCCCCTGTGTTTGTTATGACAATATATAGACCCCAAAACACTGTCCTGTCTTTTTAGATGACTTTACTGAAACGTTCTCTATTGTCAGTACCAATTATGACAACATAGTGTGATTGTGATTATTTATGAATTTTATTCAACGTTAGGGGGCCAACTCACAACCAGTCACATGTTGAATCTAATTATCACTCATAGTCTAAGGACTGATGTGTCTATAACTGACAATCTCAAACCACTACTGTATTTTATTTCTCTTGTTATCACAACCTCAGTTTGTTACTGAGCAGATTGTTAGGAAACATGATATTACCTCTGAAGTTGCTAAAAATGTCATAAATCATATTAATAAGATATCACCACAGATCCTTCCTTCCTCTGGTGATGATTTGAATTAATTAAATCAAAACACAAACCACCATGGTGAACTGGGGATATTGTTAACTAAAATTGTAGAAATGTGTCAATGGAGAAAACCTAAGCTGCAAGTCCATTACGACATTTTTAAAGAACACCTCACTATCTTCAACAAAGCAATTAGAAATGCAAGACAAGCTCATTTCTTAAAAAAAATCATGGTAATCCCAGAATGCTTTTCTCCACTATTGACAGCCTCATAAATCCAGCTCCTAAAAGCCATTCTTTCATCATCTCAACATCAAAATGTGAAAAGTTTGCAGCTTTTTTCAGAGACAAAATAAGAAAAGACAGGTTGGACCTTATTTTTGTTATACAGAATGTGCATGAGCCCTGTCTTTTGACACTTCCCCTCTGCCTAAGACTGCTACAAATGTTTTTGCTGCTGTAGTGCATGCATCTATAACCCTCCACCTGCTCATTTGACCCTAACCCCACCACCTTTTTTAAAACTGTGTAAACTGTATATAGCATGAAATGCTAGCAATTGTAAATCCCTCCCTGCTGAGTTGTATTTTCCCCTAGCCCTGAAAACTGCTCTCCCATAGAAAAGTAACCCAAATGATTTACTGCTAAACAATTTCAGGCCAATTTTAAATCTTTCTTTTTTAAATTAAAATGCTTGACATATTAGTATTAGTATAGTATTAGTAACAGCTAAATGATTACCTAAATGTGAGATGTATATTTAAGAAGTTCTAGTCTGGCTTTTGTGATCACTACAGATGAATGAGACAGCGTGGGTTAAAGTTATAAATGACCTTAGAGTGAACAAGGATGAGAAGAAACTCTCAGTATCAGTACAGATTGCAGAAGTGTGTTGGCCTCTTTCACTCAGATTTAGATAGCTTTTGGACTTATCTGTCTGGCAGAGACTATTTTGTCTTTCTTGGTGACCACTCTTTGGTGAACACTAGCATAACATGTGGTTTCCCTCAACAAGTCAGGGACCTGTGTTGTTCAGTCTCTATATGCTGCCACCATGAAATATCATCAGAGAACAGGGGATTAATTTTCATAGCTATGCCAATGACACACATACACCTCTTTATCACCCATTATTTATCAGCCCTGTTGAGAAACTGGTTCAACTAATTGATCATGTCACACACATGATGCATTATGACATACTGGGCACTAACTAGCACATTAACCTGGCACAAAACGACAACCCCTAGCGTGCTTCTAGACCCTGTTTTGAATTTTGAATTTCACATCACTAATCTCACTAAAACTGCCTTTAGAAATTATGCTTAAGTGCAACTGTTTCTCTCCCAGGATGATACTGCAATACTTATGTATGCTTTTATCATTATCGGGGTTGATTACAGCTGTTCTCTCCTTCCTGGTCCACCTATGGAAGCTATAAATAAGCTACAAATCATTCAGAATGCAGCTGCAGCACATGTACTGACCCAGTACTGACCACAAGTAGAGCACACATCTCATCTGTCCTAAAGTCCCTTCATTCAGTTTTAGAAAATATTTTAAGATCCTTTTATTGGTGTACAAACCACTCTACAATGGACTAGCGCCTGAATACCTGTCAGACATGCTTTCAATGTGTGCTCCCTCTAGATCACTCAGGTCCTCTGGTGACATTTAGTGTTTGGAGCCGCCTGCCAGAGGAGCTGAGGGCCTTTAAAAGAAATCTTAAGAAATAGACTACCTTTTTAGCTTGGCATTCCCTTATCCATTTTATTTCAATCTACCCTCATCTACTGGTCTCTCTGTTCTACCATGTTTCCTATTTACTGTTATTGTTATTTCATTGTATTCTTAAGCACCTTGTTTTGCAATTTTGCACAAAAATGTGCTATATAAATAAATTGATTTAAACATATTAAAGGTTTAAATTGCACCAATCAATGGTGTTCCAATACTGTGAGATTTTTGTTGTTGTGGGGAGGGTGTTGCCATTTTTCTCTTAGGAGGGCCTATTTGAAGAAAATACTGATACTGCTGGTATCTGTATTTTCTTCAAATTAACAAAGAGAAAACTGCTACACCCTCTCCTCAATATCTAAAAGTAATATTACATAATTGAACTGGTCCAATTCATTTTGTCATTAACAACTAAAAAGGTGCACAAAGAATTAATTTATAATCTAATAATTTAGTCCCACTCCCCACCCTAAATTTATTTACAGTCCCCAGTATAAATGGCTTTTGCTTTTGCTTGTTGATATTGCTCAACAGAAGCTAACCTTGGGCTGTTCTTTACTGTATGGAGTAATGTGGAGGTAAGTTATACTTGTACCTACCTATCTGCCCAACAAATTCAATTTTGATCCCTTGGTGCTCCAGCCTCTTCCCGGGGTTCTTTAGTGTGACATTCACCTTTCCACTAACAGTTTCGCCATCATAGAAAAGAAAGTATTTGTCTTTCTTTCCATCTTCAGTCTTGTGTTCAGCCTTCTTCCTCGTTTCAGCGTCATTCAGGACCACATCGATTTCTGCACTTTGTCCAAAACTAAAGAAACTCATTGTAACGTTACGTCTGTGCTGTGTAAACTCTTATCGTAACGTTACTCTGGCTTGTTTTAGCAAACTAACGTTAACCTCCCCCCAAAACACTGCTAATGTTTAGTAGAAAGCAAACACACCGTAAGGGCCTGCAGGGTGTGCGACCTCGGTTCCCTCTCGGAGCACACAGCACACTATTAAACATGGAAAAAGTCGACGATATTTTACAGAAAACTCTACCTTTGCTACATGTCCATACTCATTTTCACAGACGAAGCGAAATGGATGTTCGACGGCACACGAAAACGCACAAATGTATTTCCACCAGCAAATTAGCCGTTTCTTTTTTTTCCTTCTGTTGACCTTAATATCTCCAATACATCGCCTACACTGGCCACAAACTACTCTGCTTCGTTAATGGGCACAAAGCTCTCAGTGAGGATGTATATTACATGTTTGTTTTCTGTACGAAAATACGGCGAATGTTGTCAAATGATCAGGATGTACGCCACCTGCAATGGATTAATTACTTCCGGGTGGAGTTTTTCAAAATAAAACCCACAACATAGTATTTGGGCCCGTGTTCCAAACCGGAAGTGAGGGCTTTTCCAAATACACACATCAATTGTATATTACTTTTGAGTTTTTCATTTTTTTCACTCGTAAGTAAGAACAGTGGAGAAAACTAACTTAGTACATTTACTCAAATAGGCTACTGTACTTTACACTGTATATAAAAGCAGTGGTGGAAGAAGTATTCAGGTACTTAAGTAAAAATAGCTGTACCACAATGTAAAAATAAATATTCCATTACATGTAAAAGTCCTGCATTAAAATTTTTACTCAAGTAAAAAAGTATTAACATTCAAATGTACTTAAAATATCAAAAGCAAAAGTACTTATCATGCAGAGCCCCTGTCATTAAATATATATTATAATATTGGATTATAATCATGAATGTATTAAAAAGTAACTTTACTGGTGTAGCTCACTGAGGTGGAGCTGATTTTAACTTTATATGCATTATAAAGCATTCCATGCATGATATCAACCAGTATGGGATCAGCTGCAACATTAAAATGCTGTTTGTTTGTATGTTGATGCATCAATAAATCCATGAACAGAATTCCTATATCAACATTCTGCATAACAAATGCATTTCCTTTTGATATCTGAAGAAAGTTTGCTGAAAATATTTGTACACTCTCACTGAGTAACATTTTGAAAGAAGAGCTTTTACTTATTTATTTATTTTTCCATTGTAGTATTGTTACTTTTACTTGAGTAAAGTATCATTTTCCACAACAGAGTGAGACACATGGTAATAACAGAATGCTGTAGGCTGCAACAACTATGTGCATAAATGTGCATAATATGTTTTATTTTTATTTCCCTCTGCATTATTATTTTCATAAACGATAAAAACACATTTCAGTCTCCACAATATTAACAGTTCAAATGTATTTAATAGTAACAAAAACATGAACATATAGTATTAATATCAAATGAACAGTGGACATTTTACAACAGTTCCTGAGTTGTTACACAAATCATTGACACTAATGTTTGAAATGACAGGCTCAACACTGCAGAAACACACTGAACAGTAAATACTATAAATTTATTTCCAACTAACAGTTTTATTGCATATTTACAATAAGATATGGTGTGCAATGTAGGAAAATTAAAAGATCAAAAAATGTATGTATTTATGTACATTAAGTACTGAGTCCAAACTGGACAATATGTCCAATACTCACAAAATAATTAGTAAAGCACAGAAGGTCACTTATACACAGAAACGGCACTCTAAATATCATACATCACCACCTTTATAGTACATATTGACTTTGCAGCATAGTGGGATATAAGGTATTCAAATCCATGGGTTACTTTGCACTCGTAGATACTTGTTATTATCTGTAAATACTGTATATGAAAGGCTGATAAATTGTGCCTTATAATTGTGAGCTCATCAGCCTTCTACAGTCTGCTGCTTATTGCCTGTATAACTACAGTATATACAAAAAAGTTTCAACTCTTCCCCAGGTAAAATAAAATCAGATCATGTTTATCTTATGAACAAAGATAATGTAAAGGAGCTTTGTAAAATAATTTCAGTGTACTGTAAAAAGTTTAAGAGTTATAAAAGAGGATTTGTCCAAAAAAACGTGAAGGAATGTAGCTTCCAGCATCTTTTGCGATTACACTATGGTCCAAATATCAAATTCCACAGCTTTGAATGTTTTTATTGTATAATAAAAAAAAAGCACTGCACTGTATTGTCTAATAAAAACATGGTGAAATTAAGAACAATATTTTCATCGTAAATTAATACTAAAAGAGAAGGAAATAAATTACACATTATAAAAAAAACATGAAACAGTGGCACAAAATGATATTACAATGACTTTGGCAAGTTGGTTGATTGGATTCTAATGTGCCTCAGAGAATAATGTGCCATGTTACACCTCAAACTTTACCATCAGGAGCATCATTGTAGCAAGTTAACCTCAACAGTTTTTGTTTTTGTCTTGATTTCATTTTATTGCTGTCTCAGCTGTCAAATGACGAATGAAGACTTGTGGCGAAAATGGCCCTGTGAAAAAGATGAATTAGAAAATATGTATGCAGAACTTACTCCTTTAAGAGTTTCCTTTATTCATATTAAGACATGTAATAAATGCTGTTGATGTTTTGCAAATGAGTTTTTCTTACCTCATCTGCATCACCATAGTCAACACCTTCAGTCTGAGCTGGCCAATTGTAGCTGAAATAACAAAAACAACATAATAAAAGTATACAAATACTTGATGTAATGTAGAAGGCACAATAACCTATTATCTTATCTCCTTATACTCACTTATTTTCATTGTGGCCTTTTTTGTAGAAGCATCCACGTTTAAAGGAATGACAAATGGAAGCAGCCAAACAGAAGAACACCAGCACTGCACCAAAGGACTTGAGGAAAATCCCAAGGATGTCGACATCATCTGCAACAACAAAAGATGATATGTGAACAGAGCTTGGTGGCCTGAGAGATATCAAGCATTATAGTTTGTGTTGTTGTATATTTTGCTTATATTTAATTCACATTGTGCTGAAATCGTCACTTGAATAATGATTTAGCTCATCAGCAGGAGAATTTGAAAATTGATCATTAATTTTAACCAACTATCTAAGCAATCATTATGAAGCAAATTTTTTGGTAGCTGATCAAATTCAGTAAGACAGCTTTAGTTAAAACTATGGGCTCTGATAATGTCTGATGGATATAAAACAGTAACATATTTTGACATTACTTGTTCCACTATATGATAAATCAAAGAAAAATCAATTGTCAGTAGTGAAAACAATGTATATCTGTAACATAACCACAATATATGCAGGAATGTCTGATAAGTTAACAACTTTCTACAGCATATACAATTTACCACAAATATGGATTGCAATTTAATTAAACAGAAAAGCAGGAAACAACTTTTCAAATTGTCAACTATGGTGCAATAAATAACTTGAAACTCTGACAGTGGCTGCTCCATTCTTCTCTCCCTGTCACAGCTAGAGGTGTGACTCTGGGTCTATTTTCCCCCTGGTTCCCACTCCCTTTTCATTTGTGTGTGTGTTTCACTCTGGGCACCTGGCTGAAACTACACACCGGACTTCAATCGACTCATCAACTGAAATACTCCAGTTCTCCTGTGACTTGTCACCTGGTCATTCTAAACCAATCGTTGTAGAGTACCGCTGGTCTTTTCTTGTCTCGCTACTGAATCTAATTATTTTGCTGATCACTTACTCCTCGAGTAATACCTGTTTTTTTCTTTCCTGTGCATCAGGATTCCTGTGTTTTCAAATGCTACATCCACTGGTACCAGACCTCGCCATCACTCACCTGCCTGCCCCTCGCTCATGTCTGCCTCACAAGCCTTCACCACCTCTGCACATTTGTAAAATAAAAACTGTTAACTTTTACTCTGGCTCTTGTTTTCTGTGTCCGCTCTTGGGTCCACCAACCACAAAACCTAACACTTCCACCTCTCCTGCCTACATTAACCCCTTCTACTAACTGTCCGCTTGTGCTGTCAGTTTTCCTACTTCTAGCAGATCACCTGAGCCTTACTCAACTTCTCTGCTGTTCCCCATTAGTGATTAACTGCTCCAGTACATTGTACACTGCAGGATAAAATGTCACTTAATTAGCTTTGTTTTTTTTTGCCTCTGTTCCTTCCTGCTGTGTTAATGTTTTACCAACATTTTGTCTTTGATTAACTGTCTATTCCTTCTAGCCTAGGTCCACCTTTTTGGCTTTGGTAGCAATGTCCATGCACGAAACTGAGACCAACGTGAAGACGGTTTTATCTAAGAAAGTCTCAGAAAGGCTGACTCAATTGTTTAGACACTCACAGACTTCCATGATTTGTGGGGGACACTGTGCGTGTCCTGCATCATTCTTTGCCTGGCAGTAGTACTCCCCTGCGTCCTCCTTCTTCACTCTTCGAAATTTCTGAGGAGATATTTTTTTAAGAAATGTTTCAGTACAATGACACATTGCATTGTCAACAAAATGCTAAAGGGTGTTTGGCTGCATATAAATTCTGTGGTGTAACATTTTATGATATGGACCTGAAATGTGTTTAGTGAAACTTTTAACTTAGTTATTATGACATTGACGTAAACCATAAACGCATCATCTTGGCTTTGAATGCAACATTATCCTCCTTTTAAATGCCAGTCTTTGGTTTAGTTTCGTCACTGGCTATCTTTACATGTGTGGATTAATTCTGCTATTAGTCATACAATGGTTAAGGTTTTATTCAGATTAGGCTGTTTCCATTTACATTGGATAAGCTGTAATTGAGTATCCTTGATGCTAAAGAGTCCTATCCACAAACAGAACAGTCAGCCAACTACTTCCATCCACATCTGAGTGAGGCAAATGGATGAAGCTGATTTCTAATAATAGAGTAATAGTAGATATTGCTTGTTTCCATGATTTTAATGACAGTTTGTACAGATGATGAAAGCTAAAATGAAATTTTAAATTAAGTAAAAGTACCGGTTATAAATGTACTAATAGCAGGCAAAGCTATGGCGCTGTGTTTCTTACCAGGCCCCCAGTGTCGGGGTTGATGCTGTAAGAAGAGTTGACCAACTTCGGGCTGTTTTTGGGGTCCTGAGGAAGCTCCTCGTTGTTGTGGAACCAGCGATACAGAGGAGCAGGGAAACCCTCATTCTCCAGACATCGCAGCTCGGTTGACGTTCCAACTGTGACCGCCTCTGGCACACTGCACCGTGGTACAACAGGTTTTACTGCGCACAGACACATACGCATCAATCTACTGCAACTGCTCACTGTTTTTGTTATTGATTAATCTATTATTATTATGATTAGTCACTTGAGGCACAAGACGGCAAGTAATCATTTGAAGTTAGCAGAGCCTGAAGTAATGACATAAAGGAATAGTCATTTGGGGAAATTTACTTATTTGTTTTCTTGCAGAGACTTAGATGAGATGATTGATA